GCGTCCCCAAAATGCCAGGATAAGAATACAATCAACTGGGGTCACACCTTGGCTACCCAGGCTTCCTGGAGACACTACAAGCGATGAAACGTGTCCGCGGTCCACGCTCCACGCGAGCCGTCAACTCCGGTGGCCACCTGGCCTCTGCCACTCCCAGTGTAGAGCCGGTGACTCCTAAGCCCTCGGCCCTCCGCAGTGGCCCACTCAGCCCTATCTGTGAAGCCGGGCTGCCCTACTCTTACCGTTGATGCTCTGTCACCTTTCCCGTCGAGGAGAGAGGGACCAAGGCCTGCGCTGGAGCTCCTAGGCAGTGGTCCTGCCGATTCCCCTCGGGGCTGGCTTCCTCCCTCTCCACCCCGCCAAATCCCCGCAAGTCAGGTCCCCCTTCGTCACCCCGGGGGCTTCTAATCACTCCGTATCGATTTCCCTAACTCTTTTCATCCCGTTGAAGACACATCTTAAAACACTCCAGCCCGGAGTGTGCTCTGGGCTTTATCCACACTAATAAAATGATTTACCCTGCTCTCTGCGCTCTCCTCACAGAGGAAAATCGTTCGAGCCCTGGCTATTCGTGTGTGATCAGTAAATATTTAGTGCGGTGACATCCTCAGCTAGGCTTTGGATCGATGCGGGGCCCACCGGGAGGTGTGCGCTCTGCGGGCGGGGCCGCGTCGGGCCCGCCGCCGGGGGAACTCCTGGTGTCCTGGCCTCCGGCCGTAGATTTACAGCCCGGGCGGGAGGCCCAAGTAAGAGAGAAGTGGGGGGGGGGGGGGACAAAGAGCATCTGGAAAATTGCCTTTTCAACCTTTTTACTTTTGACATTCAGCCCCTTCCCGCAGGCTGCCACGGTCTCCTCCACTCCCCCCTTCCCTTGTCAGGACGCTCTGTGCACCCCGCGAGCCCTTCCGGAGACCGTGAGACGCGCTAGCGTCCCCGTGGCCCAGGACCACCTATCAGAGATCTGCGTAGCCACGCAGGGAGGCCCCAGCCCCTGCTTTGACAGTCGTCCCCTTTGGGACCCGAGGCTCTTCGCCCGCCCAATGCCTCCTAGGGCGGAGAAGAGGTGGAGGAGTTCAGAGCTGCAGCGACAGTTAGAGACCTGCTTCTCCGCCACCGTTTCTGTGACCCCTTGGCCTTTCTACTTCGCCAACATCTTGTCCTTGTCGCCAGTCGGACCGCGCAGGTCGTCTGATGGGAACTTTCCGTAGATGTCCCTTTCCGTGGGAGCAAAAAAGGCGCTTAGCTGTGAAGTGTTGAGGGGAGGGGGGCTACTCTTGGCAGCCAGAGGGCTGTGGTCCAGGTGGCTGCGGTGTCAGCGCCTACCCCGGGCGTAGCCACACAACTTCATGATTACATAGGCTCACCTTGACCCGGGGACCCCAGGAAGTGGGCCTGGTGCAGAGTGGGCACTGCACGGCCTCGGCCTGCACTATAATTCCTGCCACCTGGGACTGCTAAATTGCGGGAGCTGTCGTCTGTGAGGAATATCCAGCCACTCCTCAGGAGGCTCCTCTCCTCTGAGACCTGGGGTTTCGGGTCTCCAAGTCTTGCATCGCAACCCCGGCCACCTGTTGTTAAGTGGCCTGATTTCCTCTCACCTGAGGCCTGGGCCTTTGCAATTCCCTTGGGGCCCAGAGAAGAAGGTGCGACCAGGCTGGGTCCAGGCACTCCTCCCTACACCCTAATGCCCTCGCCTTTGTCATCACCGTGGCTTTCTAAAACGCTATATCGGCAGTCTATCTTTATACTAATGCATACTTAATTGGTCCGTCTTGACTGTCCAGAAAAAAAAAAACAATTTAATTAGGGTGGTTTTTTTTTTCTTTTTTAGCTTTGGAGAGCAAAGAGAAGAAAATCTACCAGATGCTTATTGTATTTAGCACCAATACAGGCAGAAAATGTAGCACAAGCTTTTGGTTGAAAGAGCACCTCTGTGTCCATTGAAGGGCGTTGATCCGAAAAGGCAGAAAGGACAAGTAAAATCGATTGGAAGCGACCCTCTCTGTCCCTTTCACACCATTCAGAAACCCCATTCCTTCTAAGACAAAGACCAGAGCCTTGGGAATTCTCAGGGAAAAGGAGAACTCCAGTCCCACAAGCCTTGAACACTTCTTTTAAAATCTTCCATACTTCACTTTAAACGTGCACTTGGGGCTAGACTCCTGCATGTGTGTTTCTCGCCCCCATCCCTTTAAGAGCCACGCAGGCTTTTCACCACCACCCCCATGCCACTGCCCGATTGGCCTTTCGGACACGGCGGGCCTGCCTTTTAGGGTTAGTGCATCTCTCACCTTTGACCCTCAAGATTGGAGTGGCTGCCAGTGTTCTAAATCGGGCCAAAGTTGAAAGAAAACGACCACAAAATAATTTCTCCGAAACCCAGTTCTGGTTCAGTGCCTAAGTCATCTTACCCAATGGCCACCTCCATCCCTAATTTTTTCCCCTTCCCTGACAATGAACTGCCCTAGCCACCTCTGAAGGAGGGAGCTGAAGTGGTCAGGACTGCATCTCTGGGGTGGCGATGAGTTTCCAGGTCTAATTGGTCTTTCATTAGGTTATCCGAGACGCCCAGGCTGGGTAAGGTGGTCATCGATCAGACCTGGCAGGAAAAGAAAAAGGAGGGGGGGAGAGAAGGAGAGAAGAGGGCAAGGGAAGGAGAGGAGAGAGGCCAGACTGAGATCACCTTCACCTGCCCTGAGCCGGGCCTCCCTCTTGGAGATCACTGGACCTTCCGCTAGGATGAAGGGGGCGGGGCGGAAGGGAGGGGGCACTCCTGAGTCACACACGTGGCCTCCTTCTGAGAGACAGAGTTCACCTCCTCTCGGGAGGAGTCCCACCAGCCATCCACTCAGTGTAACTGATGAGACAAACCGCAAGGAAAAACTTCTGTAGCCCATATTTATGGTATTAATGAATAGTTAAAAAAAGATTTACACTTCTTATGATCAATATTCTGAGTTATTTCCCTCAAAGTATATAATTACAGTGTCTTCAGAGTTTTCATCATTGTTTGAGGTGGCAAAACCATTTGTAATTTTCATTAGCCAGTAAACATGTAATTAACATTCAGCACTGTGTTTAACTTAATTCCTGTTTAAGACAAGGACAAGAAGCAGTGAGGAGCGCTAGTTCCATTTGTCAAGTCTGACATTCATCTTACCATAACAGTTTCCTAAAATAAAAGATCCATGTTTCCCCATTATTCTTCTCTTAAAACAAAACAATAACAACAACAACAACAAAAATCCATTAGTTAAAACTGTACTAAACTGAAAGAAGGAACTCAGGCTATTCTCAATTTTTGCTCATTATTATATCTCGGCTTCCTTTAGTCTTGGGGGGGGAATTGATAAAGGGAGGGAATGGATTAAGTATTCATTATTTGGAGGCATGAAATGGGGAACCCCTCCCCCAAAAGAGATAGATTTCCTCCTCTGGAAAGTTCTAGAATGGACAGTAGAAAGGGGAGGGAGGCACTAATCCACAGTGGAGAGGAAGAAAAATCATTTGGGTGGGGGAGACTTGAGTTAAAAGTAGAAAATGAAGATTCCAACTGATTCCTAAGAAAAAATGTTGGCCTCCTGTGTCAAGTTCTATCTTTGATCCAGGGTGAGAGAACCCTGTCTGCCAGTCTACCAGGCTGCAGCTTTTCCCCCTCCTCTCCCACCTCTGTTTTTTTTTTTTTCCAACTTGCTTTAGGATTAGCCTCCATCCTTCTCGACCCCAAACAGTGGAATTTGGCTGTGCCTCCAGTTGTCTTGCTTTGCAATATTGCTTATAGTTGTTTGCGGTTTTCTGCTAAGGCTGAGCCGTTTGCTCCAGCCTCCGACTAAACTCATTAAGTTGGGAGATTTTTTTTTTTCAATTGGAAGGGTGTTTTTAAAGTCTCCTCTTTCCAGCCCCAAACAAGGTGTAACAACGCACTCTTCCTTCTAAGGCATCAGATGAGAGACAAGGATCACTCCAGACATCTCCTACCTACGGTTTGGGGTTTTTTTTCTTAAAGGCGAGGCTTGCATTCCTCAGCAGCTATGTACAAAGCTCCCTGAAGCCGCGTCTCTCTCTAAAGTTAGTGTGCAGGCTTTTCCAAAGGCTGAGAGCGCCTGGTACACAGGGAAGCACTTCCTTGAGGTGGAAGAGCTCTCCTTCACCTTTCCTCTTTTTCCCTGCAGACTAATGCCTACTTTTTTATCAGTTTGCACAATCGCTTAGATAAACACCGTGGAGGAGAGTCTCTTTAATTATCAAAGACACATCTTTTCAGGGGGCCAACAAAACGTTTATTTCACCCGCCAAGCCAAACTAAAGGAGAGTTATTCCAGTTTAGAAGGAAGATGCAAGCCGTTTGGGACCTTGAACAAGGCAAATATGGTTTTGGTATGTTTGCTTACTGTATTTCTCTTTCTCTTTCTCCTCTTTCTCACTTTTCTCCTTGTGCTATGTGGGTTTGGGGATGACTTGGGGCTTTCCAGAAAATCGGTTTGCTAACGTGTATGCATTGCCTTGGACTGTGGTTGAAGGGGTGGGGGGGCAGTCAATTCAGTGCGTTGCCATATTTTATTACATGTGTGTGGTAGCAGAGGTGGGAGAGGGGGGGGAAATACAATTGCAAAGCTGCCAAAATATGATTAAACCGAAGCATAAAGACTGCGGTTGCCTCCCATCTCCTCATCCTGTCTTCTCAAACTCATTTCCTTCCTTAGAATTGACCGAAAACCAGTCCTAGAAGCCTGGTTGTCCAAGCAGCAAATGACTGGGTTTGTTAGCAAAGGGGCTGCTGCTATGCTGGCTTTAGGTAACAGAATTTCCTGTTCGAATTGCCTCTGCGCTTCATTTTGCATCCTTGTGCAGCTGACAGACAGGCAGGCAGGCGGGCGGGCGGGCGGGCGGGCTGGCGGACGGACGGGCAGGAACCAAAGCCCTTGCCCGGCGCCCTCGGCTGCGGTTCCTGAAGGCGAGCTCTGTTAAGCTAGGAGAATCGCAAGGAGAAGGGTACTCACCATCGGGCGGGGTGGTGGTGCTGGCGTGCTGAATTCAGGCAAACGCTTTACCTTTTTGCTGTCTATTGCAACCGCGCCGGGCTGACTTAAGAAGCAATTCTGTGCTGTGTGCAAAATGATCATGGAACGGTTCTTCATTTTTAAAAAGCCAGCGAGAGAGACGACAGAGGCAGAAAGAAAAAGAGAGGAGGGGTGAGGGGGACGCACATAAACCCAGTTCAAAAAAAAAAAATCATCCCTTCACCGGTGACTCGAGAAACGTAGAGCCGGAGATCCGAGTGCAGTCCAACCAAGCCACAGACAAATAATTTTAAATCCTGAAGAATTATTCAGATTAAAATGTACAGAAGTTTCATTCTCCTATGCCTACATGAGCCCCAAGTCGTTTCCCTTTAAGGGCTCCTTTTCTTATAAAGTTGGGTTTTAGGCAGCGAGGACTCTTACACTAGGGGGCAGACAGATACTGTACTTGCTCCAATCTTAAGCAATTTTTCCCTCCCAGCATATGCTCTGATTTAGCACTGTAAATTTTTCAGAGGACCCAACTCTGACAGCCCCTGGTGATTTTCAAAGTACCACAAGCCAGTGGTTAAAAATTGCATTGACTTGGAAGTTCAGAGGGACACAATGGAAGCCCCTTCCCTATTCACGAAGCTCCAGTGTGGTGGAAGAGAAAAACACACACGACTAGATTGAGGGAAAGGAGAAATTCAATGGATCCTGGATTCTACTGAGCTCAGAGTTAAACTCGGCATTGCTGGGGTCTGTATTCATATTGTGATTTAATCTGTAAAGAATTACAGACCAGCCAACCACTTTCTGCAAGGAAACCATATTCCTGGGAGTTAGGGACTTTTTTTTCAGATTAAGAAAAATGTTTTTTTCCCTAACTTTGACCAGTCAAATAAAGCTTGCCACAATTCTCATTAAAATAAATTTACATTTGTAGTCAAAGGCTTGGTTAAGTTTTTAAAAAATAATAATATGTAGATATGTATCTTTTAGTCAAGATTTTTAAATCTTAGAGTTAAGACAACTGAGCATCTTTGAAAAGGGCATTTAAAAATATTTTTGCTTTTTTTTTAAAATTCCTCAGTCTGGCTGTCCTGTCTCTTCGTCCACTCATTAAATTAACTACAATTCATATGGTGATTTTTTTCTTCCCCTTCTAAATAGCATTTCTATAGCTAAATGAGCCCAAAAATACAAAGTGAAGCACCCCTGACTTGATGGTAGCTGTGTGGCCGTGTGTCTAGCTGGCTACAGTTCTGTAAAAGGGAAAATTTTGATTTTTCTACCTAAGGAAATTATAGCCTTCAATATATATACATATATATACATTCACATATATAAATACATGTATGAAATTTCTCCTCCTCAAAAATCACCTCCGTGTGTGTGCAAAAAGTAATCTTGCCATGAAAATGGCTGCACTGGCAAGGCAAGATTAACATTTCTCTTTAATCAATTATGTTCATCTATTAAGTCGAGATGGGAATACCTATTAGATTTCCTGTGTCAACCTCAGGCTCACTATATGCTGAGCTTGCCTCTATAATCTGATATTTTTTAGCATCAGATAATTCCCCAAATCAGAAAAATTAAAAGAAAAAAATCTAGACTTCTCTGATTTACTCTCCCTCTTTCTTTCTTGTTCTCTGTAGGAGAAAGTTATGTGGTATCTCTAATCAGCCAGAAACGCTCAGCCTGGCCTCACTGTGTGGCCACCTTATTTAACACACCAGGTTTATGATAGTCTAGTACCTGCTATAGCTTGTTATTTCTTAAAACATTCAAATAATTACAGCACCTGCCACTTAAGTGCAATATGTGATTTCAGTAGAAAAAAAAAAGAGAAGGCTAAGAAGGACTTTTTTAAAAAATAGGATTTTTTTTTCCTTGCCGAAAAAGCCAGCTTCTGTCTGCCCACATCTTCGTGTGCTCCTCATCTCACACCCTGCCTGTGCGTGTAAAAGAAACCGCCCGTACGAGCAGTCTATCCATGGCAATTACTGGACAGGTTTATTTTTATTGAAGTCACTTTATATTGCCAAATTTTCATGCTGTCAAGGATGCTCTTGTGAAGTTCTCAATTCACTCTTTGTGGTGTCCTCTTTTTTCTCCCCCCAGTAGCTCAGCATCTTTTGTGAGAAAATAATTTCATTGCTGAAAAACCATTTTGACTTATGGATTAAGTTTTGGCTTGGTGCAAGGGACTCCCTATTAGACACACATTTCTCACACAAATGTGGAATCCTCACAATCATCTAACTGGTCCTAATCAAACAGCAAGTGTAGTCAGTGGAATGTAATGTGTCCTGGGGGTGGTTCTATATATTTGATGTCTAAAACTCAGGCACACTTTCAAAGACACAGCGATATCAATGGTTTGAGCATCCTGAGCAGGGTGAGGTAGGCTGTGAGGTGGTTTTTCCTACCGTGACTCTATGGAGGAAGAATATGGTTTGTGTGTGGTTCTTGTGAGTTCTGTTGGTGATATTTCCAACTGGGAACAGACTCTCTCGGTGTGTTTTGATGACTATATGGATGTTTAAAGAGAATTTGAACAGTGAAGTCCGTATTCAACTGTTCTATGACCTAGAAGCATCGTCTTGGATGTCTTTGTCTGTGTACATTGACAAATGTGCATCTGATACATGTGCTTTTACATGTGTGTACGGAGGGTGTGCACAGGCGAAGCTGAGCGGCTGCCTGCGCCTGTCCATCAGCGGACAGAAAGGTCTTTTGCCCTCTTTTCATGACCGGGTGTGTGACAGGTCACTGGCTGGCCAGTTAGCTAAAACCAATGAGAGAGGATAAAGTTGAGGGGAATTTATTTTAATTGCGTCATGACAATGAGGTGAAGTCTACTTGTGCTTCTCAGCATCCGAGATGCTCCATTTGAGCAATTAAAATGTCAGGCCACAAATCTATAAAATATTAAGCCTCCAAAGAAAAAGACAGATATTGAACGGCTTCTTTCCCCTATGAAACAAACAAACCAAAAAGAGCTCCTAAACTGAGCAAGTGATGAGAGTTCATTAAGCAAAGGATTTGCCACCACACGGATCTAGCCAAATATTTCTTTAGCAAGCTCAGATCCCGGCACCTTGCCACCTCCGTTGCGTACCCCTTTACAAAGAAGAAGGAAGCGCTATCCGTCTTTGGTATCGTGGGCTCTACATAATGCGCCGGGAGTCCCGGGTGGAGAGCGAGCCGCGCATTTAGTTGCAAAGCCAAGTTGCGAGAGACTAAGTCTTCGGCTCCATCCTCAACCTCTCGCGGAGCCTTTAAGAGGCGTAGTGTGTGCGCTGCGCGCTCGCTTAGC